GAATTGAAATTAAAGTCTCCTTTTTGTGTTTTTCTTTTGTTTTCGATTAAAATTTTAAAATTTAATCAATAATGAATTAACTCTTGTCTTTAGTCTTTTTCCGTTTGAAAACGTTTTACTAAGAGTTTCAGTTTTCTTTTTTTTTTTTTTTTTTTTTTTTTTTTTTTTTTTTTTTTTTTTNTTTTTTTTTTTTTTGTGAACAGTGATTTTCTTAGTTGTAAACTTTAATCAATAAGAAATAAACTCTTGTCTTAATTCGTTATTTTCCTTCGAAAACGACCTATTGTGAGCACTCCACAATTTTTCCGCCTTAAATTACAGATAAGATTATATTATTTATCTTAATAAAGCAAAACCAAGATAAGAGAATGTTTATCAAAAAAGAAGTGGTTTTAGTCATACACACGTGTATAACTTTATTGTGCCCTTAGTCTGTATCTAAAATAACTTTTTGTACGATAAGATACAAAATATGATAAATTACAGAAATACATAAACTTTATCTGTTGATTTTAATTTGTTTTTATTTTTATTAAAATCATGCCATTTAATCAGTCACTTGAGATAAAATAATAAAAAAAACTTCCGTTTATTTGCTCTCTATTTTTAAATTCAAAAGGTGCTATCAGAAAAAAAGAGGAAATGAGTATCTTATTAAATTGAACATTAGCTTAGAAATTTTCTAAAGATAAGGAAAACTTAATTCTGTTGCTGTCGACCATTGTAAGCTATAATTTAAGTCAATGTAAGAAAGACCAATGTAAGTCGACAGATGTAAGGAAACTGCAAGACGAATTAAAATAGACCTAAAAATAACTACTCGCCACGTGCCGAGTTAGCAGAAAAAGTGGCGACTTAAATTATGTAAACAACCTGTCACTTTTTCTAATAATTTTTTTCGAATTTTTTTTATTACTCATTGAGCACTGTGAAGTCAAGTCAGTATGTTTAACTAAATTTTTCTCATATTTTTATATTATTTTTATTGTTGAATTATTTTTTTATTGCTTTAAAATACTTTTAGTGGACATTTTTGTTAAATAAAATTTAATAAGTAAGAAATAAAAATTGGCTATTAAATAAATCGGAGCTATCGGTATTGGTCACCGAGTTTGAGGGAAAAGTGGCTACCAAGTCATTAGAGTCTACTGGCCCCTGGCTACTAACTGAAAATTTATATTTCCCGGTCTATATTAAAAGATTCTATTGGAGTCTGATTCTATTTTTCTTAAAACCTATGTTAATGAATAGAAACTAATAGAAACGTCAATTCTTTAAGACACTAGTAAATAATTTTGAAAACGTTTCATTTTATTCTCTGAAATGTATTTTATGGAACTTAACTATTTAATTTTAATTTGTAAGTGTTTAAGTGTTGTTAAAAACCTTCCCGATACCAATGTACCAGTTCAGAAATCCCAAAGAGTTTTATCAGTATTATTTTGGACTGAGAAACCAACTGAAATCAAAGCTCATTTCCATTAAAACTAAAATTAATTTATATAATACTCTAATTTTATCTGTATTACTTCATGGCAGCGAATGCTGGTTTTTAAATAAAACTGAGGAAAAGTAACTACCAATATTTGAAAGAAAAAGCTGTTAAAGAAAATGGTGTTTGTCAGACTCAGTACAATTATGAATTATACAGAAAATTTAATCAACCAAGCATAATTTCAGTTGATAAATCCTATAGAATAAGATGGCTGGGTCAAGAACTTTGATGGTGATCCTTTTAAGAAGAAAAGTTTACAAGCATGCGAACTTTTACTTTTGGAAAGTTTACAAGCAGCCGAACTTTTACTTGTGGGAAGTTTTCAAGCAACCGAATATTTACTTTAGGGAAGTTTACAAGCAAACGAACTTTTATTTTGGGAAGTTTAGAAGCAACCGAAAGAAGGAAGGACTAAACACCAGATGGATTGATTTTGTGGAAAAAGATCTCAAAACCATGGGAATTAATGAATAGAGAAACCTAGTGTCTGATCGAACTAGATGGAGACTAGTTGGGACTGCTCTAGTCTGTACTAGGCTGTCTTGCTGATGGAAGAAGAAGCCAATGTACTAGCTTTAAAAAAGCAACCCTGAAAAATTTAAATTTGTAATTTAAGTTCCATAAAATAAATTTCAATATATAAAACAAAAAATATTTCATTCGATAAATTAGTGCCATAATAAATTGTAAGCAAACTTTCAGATAATTTTCCATACGTTAATATAGGAAAAGTAGAATCTAACTCCAAGACATCCTAAATAATTTTACGTTTTTGTTCCAACTGTTTTGTCCCAGAGAGAACAGTTCTAAACACTTGGTACATACAAGAGAAATTCCATTATTTTTCTGCAACAAAGAAGATAACGTTCGTATAATTGTCTATACGTTAATATGAAAATGTGGAAAGTAGAATTTAACTTCAAGGCATCCTCAGCAATTTAATTTTTTCTTATGTTTCGTGCAGAGGTTGGGACTTATTATCGTGGTTTTGCCCTTACAAAAAAAATTCTATTATTTCTGTACGACAAAATAATGAACTTTCATTTAATTCTCCATAGGTAGGATCTAAAAGTTGAGACATCCTAGACAAGACTTTCTCCATATGGTATCTAGCTGATCAAGACTAGACAAGACTGAGGCTGACAAAAACTGACTTAAATCTAATGGGAAACAGACTTCAAGACATCATAAAGATAGTATAATTTTTCTCCCAATATTTTATAGCAGAAAGAAAAGTCGTGAGCAGCTATCATGGTCTTGCCATTACCAGAGAAATTCTATTATTTTTGTACCACAATGAAATTCACGCTCATATAATTTTTCATATTTTAAAACGAAATAGATGAAAGTAAATTTTAATTCTGAGGCATCAAATGTAAAGTTTTTTTTCTAATATTTTGTTTCAGAGGTAACAGTCGGGGACCAACTATCATGGTTTTGCTCTTATAAGGAAAATTCAATTATTTTGGAACGACAAAAAATTTACATTCATATAATACTCCTTAGGTAGAATATAAAAGTCTAGACATCGAAGACAAGACATTCTCCATATGATATCTAAGCTGACTAAAACTAGACAAGACTAAGGTTGACTAAAATTTAGAGTAATTAAAGCTTATGTATGTTTATATGAAAATGAAGAAAGTAGAATTTAACTCTAAGGCAACCTCAACAATTTAATTTTTTCTTATGTTTCGTACAGAGGTTGGGACTAATTATCGTAGTTTTGCCCTTACAATAAAAGTGCTATTATTTTTGTAGGACAGAGAATTGGACTTTCATATAATTCTCCATACGTAGAATCAATAAGTCCTGACATCCAAGACCAGACTTTCTCTTGATTAATTACTTCAAAATTTAACTAAATTTAACATCCTCAACAATTTAATTTTTTCTTATTTTTCGTGCTGAGATTGGGACCAATTATCGGAGTTCTGCCCTTATAAAAAAAATTCTATTATTTTCGTACGATAGAGAAATGAACTTTCATATAATTCTCCATACATAGAATTTATAAGTCCAGACATCCAAGACAAGACTTTCTCCATATGATATTCAGCTGACTAAGACTAGACAAAGCTAAGACTGACTAAAATGGACATAGATCTTTGAGAAAACAAACTCCAAGACATCCTTAACCCTTTGACGCAGATAGGACATCTGTGTCCTTTTCATGTATTTTATTTTTCATGTTTTTTTTTCATGTGTCCTTTACAAGTATTTTTCGGACACTCTAATTACCAGCAAAAATATATATTGGTATTTTTAATTATAAAAAACAATTTAATAGTTACGAAAAAATCTGTTAGATTATCGGAATTATACTTGTACTAAAATAAAAAATCCAAAAAATGTAGTTTGAATTTTTTTTTCATTCATATTCAAAAATTTATCAATAATTGATTTTGTAAATTAAAGAAATTTCAATGATACATAACTATTTCTTTTATATCTAAATAACTGCAACTAAGTGCAAATTTGAAAAATTATTGTTAAGAAGTGAGCCGTGTTAGGAAGTCGTATTTTAAGCAGAAAAAGACACTGGTGCTTAATGCTGTATTTCATAACTATAAAATATTAAAATGCTAAATATAATAATTACCACTTAATTTGATCTAAATTAATACAAAATAATGAAAAAAGTATGAAAAATATGTTTAATAATTCTGCGCTAACAATTAGTTTTTCCTTATGATTGTTGCGAAGGGAAAAGAAAAGTTAGGACTCTTAACTCCAAGACATCCTTAAAACTTCTTAGTTTTTATTTCTTTCTTTATTTTTATTTCTTTATTTTTTATTCATTTATTTTTATTAATTTTTATTTTTTTTATTTTTTATTTATTTATTTTTATTTTATTTTTTTTTTTATTTTTTATTTATTTATTTTTATTTTATTATTTTTATTTTTTATTTATTTATTTTTATTTTTACTTTTTATATATTTATTAATTTTTTTGCATGGTGAACAGACGGGACTAAATATTTTGGTTTTCTCACACGAAGAAAAATTATATTTTCGTAACACAATAATTAACGTTCATGTAATTCTCCATAAGTTGACATAGAGAAAATTAAATCTAATTCATACTTGCATCTTACAAACTTACAGAGACATCCTTAGTAATCCATAGTTTTTTTAATTTTTATTTATTTATTTATTTATTTTGTTTTATTTATTTTAAAAAGTTTTGTTGTCGAGGAAATAGTTGGCACCAATTATCTTGATCTAGAACTATTCCTTCATTTCTGCACGACAAAGAAAGTAATAACTTTGTGTAGTTGGATATACATAATTGATATTAATGCGAGTTAACGAAAGAATGATTCAGTTATTTTTCTACGTCAGATAAAATTTATTGAGTATTAATAACAATATTAAGGAAAGATATTGAGAGTAATTTTTTTTACCTTCCCTGGCATTGACAGACTGTTAATTAGCACGTGCTATGAATTTAATCAAGATTTCGATTACTTGAATGAATCATTTTGACAACAATATTAGACCTATTTTATCAAGAATGATATATTTTCATATTCTTATTAAATCAGCTAGATTACATCTTTTTTTTTTCTGGAGTGTTTTCTCCACATTAAAATTCTCACATTTGACGATTCAGCAATCTTTGAACAATATTTAGTTAATTTTGAAAATCATTTCGACATGAAATCACTTAGTTTGTAACGAAACGCGAACTCTCAAATATATGACAAAAAGGTTTCCTCAAATTGCGGAACCTCATCGTAGTGTATTGTGGGAGATTATTAACTGGAATTGGCCTTGTGCCAAGAAGATCCTGGGTTCGAATCCTGTTTCGGGCATTTGTGTGAGCTATCTCTCTGTTCTATCAGTCTTTTTTGCGCTGTTTGAGCAACATTGAGCAACCTATAATACATTAAAACATATTAAAACATATTCAATACATTAAAACATATTAAAACATATTCAATACGTTAAAAAATATTAAAACATATTCAATACACTAAAACATATTCAATACATTAAAACATATTATATAACCACCGACATATTGAATTAGGGACCAACAATGAATTACAAACGGAAAATAGTGTTTTTGAACACCCTTTGCTAAAAAATGTAGTAAAATACAAAAGTAATAATAAAAGTTACAAAAGTAATTCAACATTAAACGCTAAGGACTTATATTAATCAATCTAACAATCACTATATATATTTATTAGAAAAAATCATATTATATTCTGAAAACCCATTTCTTTTGTCCGTTGACCAGTGGAACAAAAAGTAATTGCATTGAATTGATTTTTGCATGTTCAATTAGGGCTAAAAATTTATTTCATTTTTACTTGTAAATAGCAAATAACAAAACACAGTCAAATTTTCAAAACAACGTAATAACGCAGATAGAACAAATGAACTTAAATTCTTCACTGCAAATAAAATTTTTATTTGGAAAGTTTTCTGAGTTAAAAAGTAAATTTTAAATGGGTCGATTATTTTTCTGGACATAATAGCCTGAATATTGCATAAAATTCTGTGTCTCTTGGTGAGAATAAAACTATATTAGTACTCATCCCTCCTTTTTCAAATCTAAATAAAAATTAACCTCAGCTGGAATCGGATCGAAAATTTAAAAAAGCTTATTGCGATATTTATTTACTTCTTTAGTCGGCTCTTCAACTGCGGCTATAAAATAAAATAGTCCATACACTTCTAGGAGTATAGGGCTGAAAACTAATATATATATATATATATATATATATATAATGTAAAAAATGTAGAGAAAACAAGGAAAAAAGGTATAAAGAAAGGAGAAAAAAGTAATTTAAAATTGTTTTTAAAAGACATTCACAAATGTAAAAACTTTTTTCAAAAATCAAAAANAAAAAAAAAAAAAAAAAAAAAAAAAAAAAAAAAAAAAAAAAAAAAAAAAAAAAAAATTGTAAGATAAAAAAATAATCTCGTCACCAGCTCAAACGATTATATCCGGAAAAAAATTGTGCTTTTTAATATTGTATTAATAAATAATATAAATAAATATAAAGCCAAAGCAAAACATATTAATACAATAATTGTTAAAAGAAAATTTTAAGTTTTTAAATTTGTGAATATTTTTTAATAATTTTTTTTCTCCTTTAAAAAATCTTTATATCTTCTTTTCTTGTTTTCTCTATATTTTTAACTTATTTTATGAGTTCTATGTGTGCTTAAAGCTTATTTTCTTTAGCTTAATTTTCTTTGGTGATCTCTCTTTTTCTTTTATCCATTTTGTCTTTTCTGTCTTTATATATATATATATATATATATATGTAATAACAGGGCTCCAACCCTGTTATTAGTGTTGTATTTAGCTTGAAATAATTGCAGTCATAAGCCATCATACGTTCTAAACAGGTTTATTAAATGTAGGCTGGTATTGCTAACAGTTGACGTCCACGCTCCCTACGGGAGGGGAATGGACAAGCCTCCGAACAATTCCGGCACAGCTTATTTGGATCACATCATTATGAAAAGGTCACGCAAAACTATGCGTTCTTACGTTTTATACCAACATAGATTTGAAGTAAAAAGGCACATTCGTACATTCCTTGTATCCTTACGCATTAAGGAAAATCATTTCTGCTTCCTTA